GAGTCTCGCTCCACGTGCGCTAATGTAGTTGAGTAAACAATCCCGCGATTTGAGCAGTGAGCAGCCGAGGTTACTGGTGAGTTTTCCCTCCGCTCCACGTGCCCACGTGCTGTGACGTCCGTTCGGCGGATTGCTCACACCTAAGGGCTGTGCAGCATGAGGAGATGAACATATTGAAAGCTGTCGAATGTAAACAACTGATTGTACTAATGTTCCCACTGTTTGATCGGACGAAAGAGCTCGTCCACGGTCTGTACGACTTGTGGGAATTGTCTTCGAATGTCGGGAGTGGGGTACTGTAACTAGCCTACAGTGTCGACGTTGGTTTCTGTGGGGTGTTCCAACATTCCAGAACAAACTCTCAACTCCTCTCGGCTGATGGAGAGATGGCTGATGCTGATACCTCACTAAGATCAGGCGGTCAGTATCTTTTAAGAGTTCCTAGAAAAGGGGGTAAGAAATTAGCTGGAAAGATCGTTTGCCCACCTTGCTCCATCAGCTTGGAATTCTCTTCCCCAACCCTTGAGACATACAACATCTGAGTCTAAATTTTTTAAAAATGTCTTTAAAGACAAATTTAATGACATCATTTCTATATCAGTAGATTCACTTTCAGTACACTGTTATGAAAAGGACTATAATGTATCCATTTATGTATTTTGCGAATTGCATTGTGTGTATTATTTTATTATGTATTTGTATACATAGTACATGTGGGAGGAAGGAATTAGGGCTGGGGTGGGCCGGGAATGTGGGGGGGGGGGGGGTGCAAGGGAGTTCTAGAGATTCTCTGTGTGGGTGTGACAAACTCCGCGACTCCTCTCTGCGGGTCACATGAAGGTGTCTGCTCTTCTACTTACTTTGCCTTTTACTTTCTCCTCCTCTGTTGCCGTTAAGCGTCGAGGGGAGATGCAGTTTTCTATGGTAGGCCAGCTCCACAGCTCTTTCAGTTGTGATGTTATGTTTTCTCAGGGTTTCCTTGACACCCTCGATCCACCTTTTGCGTGGCCTTCCTCTTCCTTTATAGCCTGAGTGCTTGGTGTTGTAGGCTCTCGAGGCTGGCTGGCCAGGTGACATACGTAACAGGTGGCCAAACCATTTTATCCTCTGTCTTTCTATGTAACGCAGGCAGGACTCAGTGCCGATAGCTGCTCTTACTTCTTCATTTCTCTGCCTGTCTTGTCTTGTGATGTCAAGGGTTTTGCGGAGATATTTAATTTCGCATGCGGTGATTTTGCTTTCATGGGTTTTACTTAATGTCCAGGTCTGGCACTGATAACATAATGTTGGTATGAATATTGAGGTGATAAGCTGACTCTCTGTGTCCATGGTTGATAAATCTGACAGCAGGTTATACTTGAGCCCACCCCCCCCCCTCCCCCTCCCCCCGTCTCGAACTGACTTGACCTAGTTTGTACATCCTGGCTCTCCGCTCTCTGTGGGTCACGTGTGGCTTGTTGTGACGTCATGCATACTGTCTCTCTGTCCTTCCCTGCCCGCCCTCCACATCTCTCTCTCTCACTCTCTCTCCCTCTCACTCTCTCTCTCTCTCTCTCTCTCTCTCTCTCTCTCTCGCAGTATTTATCCGGAGACGTCCCCGACGGAGATAAACCAATCAAAATGCTTTGTGCCCCTAGACCAAGTAAAGGCCACAGATAGGGAAAGGGTGGGGGGGGGGGGGGTAAGTGCTTTACGGCGCTCTGAACTACATAAGATCATATGAGCCCATCGGGACACACCGAACATTTTCAGTTGGTAGGACATTTTGAATTTTGTCCTGGTGGCGGCCAAAGCATACACTTATTATCGATTTTAGACCACGAAGGGGTCTTTAAAGTGCGCACCTTGCACACGGGACCTCCGAGATTTTTCGCCCTTGTCCCAGAAGGCTAGGTGTAGATCTTTCCTTCCAGAAGATCAGGGGTGTGGCTGAAAGACAGCAGTAAGGAGGAGCCAAGGAGTAGCTGTAGAAAGGCTGCAGAAAGAGTCAAGAGCCCAGAGGAGGGGGCAAAGGAGGTGAGGGGGTGAGGGCAGAAAGAGGAGACGAAAGCAGACGATAGAAAATTGCTAGAGAAAAGGAAAGAAGGTGAAAAGAGACAATTTTAGAAAAGAGAATTTTTCCGTCTCTGCACAGATTTGAACCCGGGACCTTTTGAATGAGAGGCGCGCACCTTAACCTGTCGGCCACGAGAGTGCCCTTGGCGGGGCCTGTCAGGTGAGAAGGTCGGGGGGTGTTCTCAAGTGGTGGCTGTTTTACTGGTGCTTGGGGGGGGGGCTGAGTGGGAGAGAGAGAGAAGGGGGGAGATAGAGAGAGAGAGAGAGAGAGGGAGAGAGAGAGAGAGAAGGGGGAGAGAGAGAGAGGGAGAGAGAGAGAGAAAGAAAGAGAGAGAGAGAGAGAGAGAGAGAGAGAGAGAGAGAGAGAGAGAGAGAGAGAGAGAGGGAGAGCCAGAGCCAGAGACAGAGACAGAGACAGATAATGTCGGGGGTGGGGGGATGAATGGGGCTTACCTGTGAAGAAATGACGTCACAGCTGACAGACAGCCCACACAAGTACAGAACAAGCAATTAGCGCGCCTGCTCCACTGGCCGTTTCGCAATATCTGGGCATAAATTACAAGCCAGAAAGTAAACCTATGGTTAGAGCGGGAAATTGTCCCTGATCTTTGATTTAGTGGATGTCTACAGGCGACGATTTCAAAGCCAAAAGCAGCTATCAGCAGTGAGTTAGTGTCTGTAGATATCACCTTTGTACCCTAGCGCTGAGTGGGTCATGAGATGTGTGGTACAGAGGGAATGAAGGGGGCTTGTAAAAGTGTTGAACAACTGAAGGGACGGTTCTAAAACTGCATTTTATATATAGTAAATCTAAAGTGGGTGGTTGGCCGGTGCTTTGGAGTGGTTTGCTCCTTCTTTCCTATATCAAACATCTGTCGTCCTAATCTCTCCTTCTTTTTATGTTTGTTATTATCTTGTAACATCTCTACTCTTCCGAACTACAGGACATTATTGTGTTGCAAGTGACGTAAAACGTTTACCACAACTAAACAAGATCTAGACTATCAAATGGGTTATTGTATCGCAGTAAAGAATGTGCCTGTTGACTGTCGTGTTCTGCATGGTTCCTCGTGCTACTGATTGCGACTTCATGGAGGAAAAAACACACGGAGTCTAGAGAGACCTTTTCTTTAGATGTGCGTGTTTTTTACGTCCCCATAGAAACAGTTTACATCATTTAGGAGGCGGGCTTCCCACCCTGCCTGTCAGGGCCAACCAAAATGAGGCAACATTTGAGTTTCCAACCCCTAACTTTTTACATCATCATCATCAGCAGCAGCAGCATCAGCATCAGCATCAGCATCAGCATCAGCATCAGCATCAGCATCAGCATCAGCATCCGGTGCCTTGCCGACTAGCGTGGGCGATCATGGACCTCCACTTCACTCTGTCTTGCGCTGCAGCAATGGTGTCTGTTGTTCTTGCTGCTCCCAGCCATGTTGTCATCTTGTCCAGTATCTTTTCCCTCTGTCTACCTCTGCCTCTCTTTCTATCAAACTTGCCTGCTGTTACAATATTCTCCAATGTTTCTTTCCGCATTGTGTGTCCAATGAATTTTGCCTGTCGCTTTCATATATTCGTCATAAGCTGTCGTCTGCAATTTGCTTCAACCAAGACTTTTTCATTTATTTTTCTAGCTGACCATGGGAAACGCAGCATGCGTCTTATGAACTACAAGTCTGTCGCCTCAATTGTTCTTTCCAGCTGTCTATTGATTGTCCATGCTTCGCACCCGTAAAATATTGGTTCGATGTAACTTTCCAGTACTCCTTATTTCGTTTCCAGTGACAGATTGATGCTTGTGAGTATCTGTTTCATTTTGTGGAAGGTTGCTTTTGCTTGGCTAATGCGGCTTTTAAGTTTTGTGTGCCATGTCCCATCTGATTCTCGATAGCAGAGTTGTCAAACAACATCTGTCTGTAGATAACAAAGTTGTCACACAACATCTGTCTCTAGATAACAAAGTTGTCCAACAACATCTGTCTCTAGCTAACAAAGTTGTCAAACATCTGTCTCTAGATAGCAGAGTTGTCAAACAGCATCTCACGACAAGAGATCAGGGACCAGCCTACTTTGTCCATGTTGCTGATCTGCAACAGGTGGTGGTGGCAGAGACAAAAGGCGGTATCTGCATGAGGGGATGGTGGTGTTGTTTCACATAGAACCTTGTTGTTTCACACAGAACCTTGTTGTTTTGTCACATAGAACCTTGTTGCTCCAGAGTTGTGAGGTATGTGGTGGGCGTGGCATACAGCAACAGGCAGGAGAAAGAGAACACTTCCGGAAAGGTGAAAGATAATGTCGTGAATTCACAGAAACGGCTAATTGGCTCATCCCACATTGTTATATAGACGTTGTTTCTCTCTCTCTCTACCCCCCCCC